GCCGTACTGCTCGGGATAGTTAAAGTCTTTAATGTTTTAATAATGTTTTGGTTAGTTTAAAGTGAGAGTTTTATTAAAAGATATTTCACATAACTTAGTAAACTACAAGAAATCAATATTTAAAGTCCGGAGTTAACAGGTTTTTATCAACATTTTATTTCAAAAAGTTATATTTGATCTCTGAATATTACAAATTAGGCATTTCTGTACTTTATAAGACATTAAATCTTCATCTAAATCATGTTTTAAATAAATGCTGCATTAAAAAATCTTAAAATCTAGAAACCAAAGACAGAATTATAGTTCATTTTCAGTTCTAAGCTTGCACTGCAAAGGATTTCAACAATATTACGTATACGCCGCGTATTACCATTGAATTTCCCTTTTCAGTCTGGCAACTCTGGCTGCCCAAATCCAAGCAAACACACTCTTAATTCATGCTGATCTTGTGCCCTCATGGATGTTGTTGTTGCAGCGTAATTAAAATATTGCACTTGTTACTTTTCCAGTTGTCTGCCTCTCTCTCGCTCTCATCTTAGTCTTTCTCATGTCTCCATACATATATTGTGTTAGCAAAGGGGACCAAAAACAACAACAACAGAGCCGAGTAAAAAGGAGTAGAAAAAGCACAACAAGCATGCTGACAACATCGACTTCATCGTTCGCCTGTGTCGTGTATTAAAACTTGTTCATTGGAATTTTCTAATAAATCAATAAACGCAGACAACACACAGTGCCAGGAGGAGGGTGGCCAAAGGGGAGCCAGAATGGAGGAGGCGCTGGTGGCCAAGGGGCGCTTATGGCACACAGCTGGCGGCATCGACAGACAGAGGGGCAGACCGACAGATAGCCGCACGCATCTCGCAGAGATTGCGCATTTTAAAAATAGCCGCCGCACATACATATATATTTTTTTTTTTTTGAGGTTATGGAAAATTTCAGTTGTTGCCTAGTCGTTGTGATTATTTTCTTGCTATTTTCCTTTCCAACTTGATCACCAGATCGCGATTGTAGGCTATGGCCAAGCGGCAGCATTGACAACACTTTCACACAGTCATCGATGATGCACATAGAAAAAATGCAGAGTTTCTAAGTTAAGATCAATTGAGAACTTGTTAAGAATAAATTAGGAATACCCCTAAATTTATTTGTTTATATTGATATAATGAGATGAAATTCTTAATTTCCGAAAGGCTATATTATGGTATCCTTTGAAAAAGATTAAAGATAATAGAACTAATATTAATGGCTAAGAGATATTTGAATCTAAACTTCTTCACATATTTCCTAGATCAGAAATGCCACAAATACTTGATCAGTGTATATATAAACCGTGTGATACAGATTTTTTTTGTGTGGAAATTGTCGCTTGACAGCCTGCATTTCCGTAAATAAAGCTGTGTGGAAGTGGCAATTAAGTTAACTGTGGGCTGGCCACAACAATCAGGTAAACGCTGTAAATTGAACGTAAATCGATTGGCATTTTTTACATTTATTTTATCTGGATATATGTATATATTTAACGATCGTCTTGGCCTCACTTCCTATTCTTTATTTACTTTTTTTTTTAACTGACAATTTGGCCTTTCGATGCGGTAATAAACTTGGCCTATACGAATTTGTTGTGGTTTTTGTGCGTTTATCGCGACAGCAACAATGTTGCCACTAAATTTTCCATGTTCCAGGCCGATATGCTAATAGGTCTAATAGCTTTCGATTTGGCCCGCTTTACATGCGACGAGTCCGTTCGGCACATTCTAAATGTAAATAAAATGGAAATTCCTTAGAGTGGCACTGGCACTAGGCACCGGCTGCCTGCAAAAAAAATGCGAGACAAAAACTTGTAGAACAGGAGGAGGCACTTGTTGAGAACTTGGCTGCCTTGTTAAACGAGCCTGCAACACCCCAGCAGCAACATCACCACAACCAGCAACAGCAACAGCAGCAACAGCAGCAGCAGCAGCATCAGCAACGGCAGCAACAATAAACAATGTTGCAATGCTTAATTATTTCAGCGGCAAGGAATTCCTTGGCACAAACTTGAACTGCTTCTGGACTGTAGATGTTGCATGTTGCTGCTGCTGTCGCAGTTGCTGCTGCTGCTGCTGATGTTGTGGCGAAGCGTAGCAGCAACTCGATTGCGCTGCCTTACACTTAAGGTCGTCTGCTGCTAAGTATTTTTTTATTTCAGGCAGTTTCAGGTAGCCAGAGCGAGATGCAGCCCACAATCTCAATCTCAGTCACGTTGGTCAACGGCACCGCGGCGTCTGTGGCCAAGTCCCTTACACCCAAAGAAATTACCGATCTTATGAAAATTAAAAACATTTAGGGATTTGCACAAAAAGAAGTAATTTAAAATTACTCGGAGGTCGAGAAACCATTTCTTCTACGGAGCTTTTAGCTTAGAAATTGTCTGATTTAAATCAGTTTTAAAATCGTATCGAAAGTTGACTTGAATCATTAATGAAATTCATTTTTTGGTCACAAGAGATCATTTCTGGCTTCATCTTGTTTAAAAATGTTGTATAAGTATTTAAGGTATTTTTTGTACTTTAATATTTCACAACTCTTTCCAGGCTTTTCTTTAAATGTACCATTGCTGCTGCTGTAGTTGCTGCTGTTGCGGTCTGCCGCACCTATTTGTAATGCATTAATAGCCGAGAGGCAAGACGCAAGATCCAAGATCCCAGCCAGAGCCGATTGACATTAAGCTGCCCATTCGGCATATGAAGAGATCAGTGCTTTTGATAAATGGCAAGTTTCAGGCCGAAATTATTAATGCCAACATCGCTTAGGCATAATTGTTTCAATGAACATCAATATTGAGATGTTGCAAGATCGAAAAATATTGACAGAAAACTAAAAGCACCAATGGAAACTTTATGAAATTGATTGATGCATTCGAAAAAAACACAAATAAATGAAGTAATGTGACTAAATTAATGTTTGATATTAAAATACGATTCTTACTTGTTCCTTGTGAAATTTCAACAGAATTTCGTAAGAAATTTAACTATCTCCCCCAAAGCGAAGTGCAAACCGTGGACCAGTTCATTGCCAGAAAAGTTCACTGTACTGCAATGAATCTGCCCCGCACACACATCTGCTTCAAATTAAGAGATTCCAAACGAAGACTTAAGGAACTGAGTCACTGGCATTAGTCAAGTCAATTTCCCAGCAATATGCAAATATGCTTGTATTTACTTTTTGAAATTTGTATATCTTGTTGCCCCCAACTAAGGCATGTGACAAGAGCGTTAATTGAACTTTGCCTATATTATATTTGTTCGGAGTGAACTTTGCCATTGTCTAGACAAATTAAGAGCAGACAAACGAACGGAGCAACCAACGAGCGAGCGAACGAAATTTATGTATGTCGCCGGAGGCGTTGAACACAGTGTTTAATTGTTGCCTTTGGGGCCACGCGGCGTATGCGCAATGTTCGATGCGTTTCGCGTGTGATAAGCGTCGTCGGCTTGTCTGGCGCAGATCGGTGGCAGCTGGTGGTGTTCGGTGTTCGGTGCTCGGCATTCGGTGCTCGGGTGTGATGTCATAAGTCAACACACACATCTGCCAAGAAGAGGAATCTATGCTATAGATCGGATCGGGGATCGTTAATTAAAATTTCCAGCGAGTACTTCATTAGCATCATCAGCCAGCTCCGGCTGCCACGCGCTGCTCAGCTGCGCAGCTGCCGCGCTCCAATGCTTAATTAATAAATCAACGCGACACTTGCACTCCATGGCCGTATCTGCTGCGATGCTGAGCCGATTGTGATGGAGATGGAGACGTGCCGTATGCACGGGCAGACAAATTGACGCGACATTCCATCCAGGCTGGCCATGTGGGAGGGGAGTTGCTACTGGTGGTCCACTTGGTCACTGGCTAATAAAAATGTTAAATATAGCCCCACTGCCGATTATTATGATGATGATAATGACAATGTTGATGATGACATCTGCTCTGCCGCAGAAACGGAAACGGAAATGTTTCTAATCGCCTGCGACAGATCTCGGAGTGAAGCCCTACTGATCCCATCTGTCAGTGGGCAGCGTTTAATTGAAGTCAGCCGTCAATTGAAATAGTTACGAGGCATGTAATATAAGCTAGCACTTCCTTGTAATCTCTTAAGAGATTATCAATTCTCTCTGCCGACCTTATTTCAATTACATTCAATTACAGACCCTTAAAGTGGTTTTTCAAACTATTTTCTAGGGGAGACATATTTGTTAAAGTGTTGTTAGATTTTTAAAGGGAAAGCAGCTCAGCATTTAATACACTTTTGAGTGTGTAATTTTTATTTATAGATGTCATATTATATATGTATATAAGAAAAGTTTAGAAAATGCAAATCTCATTTAAATATTGCTTCATATTTTACAGGATTTCAAACGGAGTTTAAAGGATATCCAAGAGCTTCTGTTCTTGCTTAAATCAATGATTCGTGAGGCTTGAGCATTCCATCTTTACCTTGGTTACTTTATAAAATATATGGTTTCAAAATCTTCACATTAATGGATGCTTGACTTTATCTATCGTTCACTTCTCCAGCGCATGACATTGATATCTGCGGACAATTCATCATTGAGACAAATGACTTTTGTGGCGCAGCAGCTACTTAGATATCTCAGATCAGTCATAGAGTATAGTTTCAAAGGAATCAGAACTTAGTCATCTCTCTGCAGGCACTTAATGTGTGGGGGGGAACCGACTATAGTTAATAACAAACCTAATCGAGCAAAAATAGCACAAGAGAGTGACTGGCGAATGTGATTATTTAATAATTGTGGCAAATGCGCGGCAATATAATTATACTAGGCAACGCTTACTAGGAGTAAACAATAAGTAGCTTTGATAGAAGCGAGCGGGGGAAATCAAACACAATCACAATTAGAAAAATATGCAGTCAAAGTGTTAGTTAGTTAGTAAAAATTGCTAAATTGCAACTGGGCGCGCGTCGCGTTTTAGTTTTCCAGCTGCTAAAAATAAAGCGAAACAAATAAATTTACATTTTTAATTGCAATTATCGCTGGCTATTGTTGTAGTTGCCCGCCGCCACTAGCTCGCCTGCCTGGCTGCTACTGTTTGCCTTTGGCGTTTCAAACAATTAAGATGATTTATTAGCAGCGCATTTTTATGAGACGCAGTACAAAAGAAATGGAAATTAAATGGAAATTACTCAGATATATTTATGCTTTCTGCGCTGATCACATACACAAATTGATTTATCGCATAGCTTTCTGCCACATAATTACGATCGCGACAATATTCCCCAGACCAAGAAATGCATCATTTAACGCCTGGGCTGCCGATTTCGTAACTAGGAAATGATGGCACCGCGAGGCGAGAAAGCTAATTGCCATTTTATGCTGTCACTTGAGAGCGTCGCAGAGCATAAAGATCACAAAATATTTGAATTTGAATGGATATTAAAAATGTTAATGAAAAAAGTCGTAAAAATTTCATAGAGCAAAATTAAAGAGGAAAATCGTAAAAACAAATTTAAACGACTATTGCCCGTCGTGGCGGTTCAAGAGCAGCTCCATTAACGACGAGCTGCCCCACATATGTGCCCGGGCGTCGGTCTAAGGCACAACTAGAAAATGCAGATCCATCACATTGGTACCCGTGTGTCCGGTGAGCACGTGGTAGTCTCCCCCGACGAGATTCTTGTAGAAGTTGTAGCTATCGCAGTTCCGCAGCGTCTCGGCCAGTTCATCGAGCGTGTGATCACCCAAATAAGACTCAATCACACTGCTGTGTCCAATGGCTCCGGCTGCATCTGTGGGTCCATCAATGCCATCGGTTCCGGCACTGAAAAAGGTGCAATCCCTCATGGCCTCATCACGATGCAGGGCCTGCGACATCAGCAGGGCCAAGTGTTGACTTCGTCCGCCCAATCCCTGGCCTGTGACCTGGTAAGATATTAACAGAAGGTTATTTTACTAATCCAACATTATAATAAACTTCTACTCACTTTAATAACTGGCTCTCCACCGCATATGAGAAACAGTGGCTTCTTGCTGGCCAAGTGATCTTCTAGAGCTCGTCTGAAACCCGGAAACCTCTCCTCTTCAAAGGCATACTTCTCCCTGAGCTGTTGGTCATGTATGCCATGATGCTTTGCCTCCTGGATGCCCTGCAGCAGGCGTTGATAGTCAGCACCCACTTGGGCCACATCACCTTGAACGGAGCAGCTGAGCACACAGGGAATGTAGCCAAGTTTCTCTGCCTCCTCTGCAGCCTTTGTGGTGGCTATCACATTACTGCCCACGATGAAGACCTTGTGAGGTGGCAGGGAAGAGTTTATCTGCTGCTCCGATGATTCGAACACTTTCTGAATCTCCGGCGAGAGCTCTTGCCACACCTGGTGCTTCTTGAGAATTTCTGCAGCCGTTTCTGAGCCGTTTACAGGCTGAATTGTGGGACCACAGGCTATCAGTTCCAAGGGATCTCCAATGATATCGCTGAGAACAAAGGTCACGAGGAGACCTGCTTGGCCTGCGAAGGTGGCCAACCGGCCACCCTTGATGTCCGAACAGGCTATCCTTACGGCATTGAGCTCCTGGATGCTGGCACCTCGCTTCATCAACTTGTCCGCAATGGAACGCTTATCCTCCAGCGTTAAGGGAGCCCTGGGCAGGGGCAGCAGTGCAGAACCACCGCCAGAAATGAAAACGAGGAGCACGTCCTGGGAAGTCATCTTCTTGGCCAACTCTTTGATAGCCTGGGCTGCCTTAAGGGCAGTCTCATCGGGCAAATTGTTGGGTGCTCCCTCGTAAATACTCAAGCCAGATGCGATGGGTTGATGGAACTGCTTGAGGGTATTTATTGGAACACTCAAGACCCCGCCTACCGAGTGGTGGCCCAGGTCCTGGTGCACCTTGTTGGCCATTCCCAGGACAGCCTTGCCAAATCCCACGATGTGGCAGGTCTTTCCAGTGATATCCTGTCCTTCGCCATTTAGTTTTACACAGATCTCGTTGGGATTCTCACTCGGCTGAGGACGCAGATCGAAACGCTGGGATTCTGCGAATATCTTCTCCGGATGCACGGCGTTCACCGCCTGGACAAAGATCTGACGAACTTGATCCCAGGTCTGTCGCTTGGCCATTATGTAAGGTGTAGCTGTCGATCACGGCCGATCCTAATCAGCGTTGATGTTAATATTCCAGGTTTACTTATCATTTTTCAAAACAGCTGAAAGATATAGTATGTAAACTAGGGGTGGAATCAGCAACGATATACTGAGATGCGAAAACCGATAGAAAGGTTAAATATTTCACAAACAACTCAAATATATGAGAGATACAACTAGTTATGTGATAATAAGTTTATGAAAATATTTTTAAAATAATTTTAACACTTAAAAACATTCACTAAAATTGTGGATAAACTCTAATAAAAACACATATTTCCATTGATACGGCATCACATTGACATAAATCGAAAGAATGAACGTATATAATATAGGGTATTGTTCAGTTTCAGCATTTGGCTGCTATAACACGCAGGTGTAAAGTTATTTTACATTGTATCTGTAAAATGCATGTAAATTTAGTGATTTACTCACGTATAGATGTGTAAAGGATTGTTTCTAGTCGATGTCACAATGTATAAAATCCTATTTATTCTAGACATGAATCGACTGCTAATTATTTTCTAGTTAAAAAAATAAATTGCCTTTAATAATTAACAAAATATAATTTTTAATATTGGGTACCAGATACTTTTTAAAGTTTTAAATATTAATGAATCTAAAATATTTTTTATTGTAATTATTTTGTATCCTAAGAGTATTCTAGTCTCAATCAGAAGTTGTCTGTTTAAGCTATAATTACTTTAAAAGCTTGTTTATAATATAACTGCATTAAAGAACCTTCAAAATTTTACTTTAAAACGTTTCTATTCCGTTTCTATTACATTTAGTTTACAGTTCGTGGTAACAAGTGCTTGGCAGCGAAAACAAAATAAAAAGTTGTTAATATTAACACTTTAGTTGCAATTTGTTGAATACATCAAACAATTTATTAACTCTTTAACTTGGCAATTGACTTAAATAATTAGCTGATAAAACGATTTATTGATTTGACTTTCAACGGATTATTTAATAGAAAACTTTCGCTAAACTGGAGAAGGAAAAATAAATGTTTAAAAATAAATAATTGTTATTGGGTTTAACTAGGTTTATTGTTTTATAATTTTGGAGAGATATTTCCGAATTAGAGTTGCCATTCTTCAGTTCGAATCTTAGTCATGTTTACAACTCATCTGTGTAGTAAAGTTAAATAAAAACGTAATATTATTTTGCTTTTAATAATATTATTTTACTTTAACGATCTTTTTGTATAAGAAACACTATCTCAGTTTATTTTTAAATGGTTCTAGTTTGAACTTCAATTAAGTTCAAGATCCATCTATATTTATAGTAAATCCCTTCGGTGTAACGACTTTCGCTTGTTTTGAATTTTGTAAAAGTTTGTTTGGTTTGCTAATTTAGAAGAGAACTGAAAAATCGCACATGTAACTTAATCCAAAATGGAAATATGAAATGTCAATTTCATGCCACCTAACACTTGAATTACAATATTCGCTTTAATGTGAATTTTTCAACCCCTTTAACTCGTAAAAAACCTGTCTAAAACTTGGCTTTTAGAGATTTATTTTCATTTCTGATACAACCGCCGCGACAACCACGCGAACTTCAACTACTTTCGTTCTCGGTTGGCACCGGTCGAAAGTGACACCACCATTCGCACCTGTGTGGGTGCTTATGTATGCCACCACCACCCAATCTTCGCCAGACCGATCGCAGTCCCCGATAGCCGCTCCACGCTCCACTTTAAAAAGCCGCCGCTCCCGGTGGCCAAAGTTCAGTTTCAGCAAAGGCTTAGAAGTTTGTGGAACATGAAGTCGGTGGCTTGGCTCTCTCTGCTGGGTGAGTGTATCAAAGAAATGTTCCATTGTTTGGAAACTATTTCTAATATATGGGATATTCTTGGATGGACAGCTCTGGTATGGAGTGTGGACGCAATTCAGTTACTGGGATGGTTAAATCCCAACTGCAAAGTTGTGCATGGCGAGTGCCCCCATGAAAATGTTACCTTCTGGCTGTACTCCAAGTAAGTAAATGTGATTCAAATAAATTAAACCAATATTAACTTCCAATTCCCCAAATTGTATCTCTTTTTCTATAGAGCCACCCGAGATAATCCCATCTTGCTAGATCCCCTTAATCTCAATCCCTGGGACTTTATGCCGCCACGCCCCCTTAAGATACTTCTCCACGGCTACACTGGACATCGTGATTATTCGCCCAACTCTTATATTCGACCCGTGCTGCTGGATCACGAGGACGTATACGTAATCTCCATTGACTACAAGTCCTTGGTACCTGAACCCTGCTATATGTCATCGGTGCAGAATCTCCCGCTGGTCAGCAAGTGTCTGGCCCAGTTGATCAATAACCTGGTGGATGCGAACATAGTTCAAAATGAGAATATCCACATCATTGGCTTCAGTTTGGGGGGTCAGGTGGCGGGTCAAACGGCCAACTATCTGAAGAGGAAACTGAAAAGGATCACTGGACTGGATCCGGCCAAGCCTTTTTTCATCCTGGCTGGAAACACGAAGCGATTGGATCCGGGAGATGCGGAATTCGTGGACGTCATTCATACCAATGTGTTTGGCAGGGGAATGTTGAGTCGCATGGGACATGTGGATTTCTATCCTAACTTCGAGCGCGTGGTACAGCCGGGATGCATGGATCAGAATCCCAAAAGCCCCGGCAGCTGCAGTCATGATCGCGCCCCTCAGTTCTATGCCGAGTCCATAAATTCCACCACCGGCTTCTGGGGTCGTCAGTGCTCCAGCTGGTTGGCGCATCTTGTGGGTCTGTGTCCCACAACAGGAAATCAGGAACTGATGGGCTACCACGTTTCGGTGGAGGCAAAGGGTTCGTACTTCCTCGAGACGGCGAGCTCCCGCCCCTTTGCCTTGGGCAAACAGAAGGATGTGGACAATAGCCAGTCCCTAGCTCAATTCAGGCTAAGTGAAGAGCTCAACGAGATTCCGCCTGACTATGAGCCGCAGCTGCTGGAAGCCTTCCTCGAACTTAACGATGTGGAAGCCACCGAAAGAACGGATGAACTGGACAAGCCATTAAACTGGATCGAACGGGAGGAGGATCAACCCTTGAGCAGAGTTGTAAAAAGATCAGGGGTATAGTTATATTTATTAAAAAAAAAATAATATATATCAAATGGATTTCAGTAATTTAAATACTTTTAAAGATATTGTAAATGAAAAATAAATTGCACACTATTTTAGCGAATTGATACTATGAAAATAAATGATTTTTATTTAACTATTTGATGTTCAAGAGAATTTAATTCCTTTAAAATCAATAAATGTTTCAAATAATACGAAAACATTTGCAAAAATAAAAAAGAATTTCCTATTATTACAAAAATAAAAGTTTACAAACAAAGTCATATAAAACTTCCGTGTTAAAAATAAATGAGTAATGTTATCACAGAGTGACATTTTTTTACCCTGCATTTAAACTATTATTTTTTCATTATTAATATTGGTGGCCTTTTCGAGTAACCTTCCTCTTCCATATGCTAATTTTTCTTCATTCTATTGCGGTCTAACGTAAATATTTTCATTGCCAGTTTCTAGAGTCTAAGCCCACCCGCAGCGACCTTGACCCACTGCCTCCCCCGCTCGCAACCTTGACTCTTTTATCACCAGCCAGAGTATGTTTTTTATATGGGCCCTCATTTTGCATGCCATTTTTAATGTTGGACCGTGCAAATTTAATAGAATCGGCATTAGAACACGAGTTTAGAGCAGTTTTAGCCTTAGTCATGAGCGAATATCACACAGTGATCCTCCTTTTCCTCCTCCTCGTAATAATCTCCGGTTTTTGCAAAGGAGAGAGGCAGCTGCGCGGTTGGCTGCCCGAGTTTTGTGTTTTTGCCGAAAAGGAATGTCCCAATTCGCGGGTTACCTTCTGGCTTTATACCAAGTGAGTGTTGTTAAATCAGGATATATAGTGTAAAAAGATAATATTTTTGATCTTCTAGTCAAACCCGCAATGATCCTGTGCAATTGGATCCACTCAATCCTCGACCGGAACTCTTTGAGCCACGACTGCCCCTAAAGATACTTATACATGGCTTCATCGGAAATAGGAGTCTGACTCCAAATCTGGAAGTAAGGGATGTGCTCCTCATGAACCAGCCAGTAAATGTGATCTCTGTGGATTATGAGACATTGGTTCGGTGGCCCTGCTACTTTCCCTGGGCCGTGAATAATGCCCCCATAGTATCCGAGTGCCTGGCCCAGATGATAAACAATCTGCTTTCCTCTGGAATCTACAGACGAGAGGAAATTCATCTAATAGGCTTCAGTTTGGGCGCCCAAGTGGCTGGCATGGTGGCCAATTATGTGAGTCAGCCATTGGCCAGAATTACGGGTCTGGATCCAGCAGGTCCTGGATTTATGACTCAGTTCTCGCTGCAACATAAGCTAGATGCCAGTGATGCAGATTTCGTGGATGTCATCCACACGGATCCTTTCTTCTTCTCCATGCTGCCACCAATGGGTCACGCCGATTTCTATCCAAATCTAGACCAACTCAACCAACGAGGATGCAGCTATATTAGTAACTGGAGGTTCTTCAATTGTAATCATTATAGGGCGGCGGTGTACTATGGAGAATCTATAATCTCCAGAAGAGGATTTTGGGCTCAGCAGTGTGGCGGTTGGTTCGATTTCTTCACACAGCGTTGCAGTCATTATTCGAATATGCCCAACTCACAGATGGGTTACTTTGTCTCAGAAGAGTATGAAGTTGTATGCTTATCCTTACCATATTATTAATACCTTATTTTAAATATATTTCAGTGCCACGGGATCGTACTTCCTGAGTACTCACGATGTTTCGCCTTTTGCCAAGGGACCACTCATTGATATCGAAATGGATATAGCTGAATTTCGCAATTTATCAAATTTGGCTATTAATTGAGATTTATTTTTGTTATATTTATTAATGTTACGTAGGATTATCAAATCTGTAAATATTGTTTTCTTTCGGACATAAATCGATTCGCCAGTTGATGCTGATCCAGAATATATATGATCACTGAGTTGCAAGTTTCTGCACTGAAATTATAATAACCGGAAGTTTATAATAATGCAGCAAAAGTTGGAGCCAAAGTCTGTGTTTAAAATGATAAGGCTAAGAAATGCTTTATAATTGAGTTACTTTATAATTAAGTTAGGCAGATAACTTAGAGTTAATAAAAATTGCTGAATCACTATAAGTTAAAATTAAGAAGTGGGGTTCCATGGCAATAGGGGAATTAATAAATGAATAGCTAATCAGCTAATTTTAATTATAATTTAAATGATTAAGACTTACCCCAGTAGAGGCCACGTCATCGCTTACTTCCTTCTGGTGTAGATTTATATTCCTGGCGGCTTTCCATAGTTATCATCGAAGTGAACTTCTTTCCGGTCGAAGTGTAATCACAATCACTACCACTTTCACTTTCGATGTTAACACTGCGAATTCCGCGGACAGACTGAGGCCAGAGCTGCTGCTGCGGCTGTATTTATAGTTCCTGAGCAAAGAAGATAGCAGAGAGAGTGTGAGCGAGAGCGCTAGTGCGAGCGAAGAGAATGTGCTGACTCCAGAGATAGGCGCAGGTAGAGGGAGAGGGTGAGAGCGAGAGCGAGGGAGCGCTAGAGATAGGGAGGGAGGGAGAGGGCTACTCACTGCCATTACAATATTCTATTATTACGAGAGAGGGAGAATGCCTAAGTTTGTTTACTATTGAAAATTCGATCATTGCAATTCGATCATTATGATCATTATCATTAACTAATTAATTTCATTGCATTCTCCGATACATATTATATTTACACATTCACACACACAGTTTTCAGTTTCAATTGCGCCTATATAATATTGTCGTAAGGTTTTAATAAAATTTAAGCCGCATTTATAAAAATGGCTAGAAGAAGAATTTTTGAGTGCTTAATTTATATACCCTTGCAGATTATTATTTTAACTTAACTGTGAAAGGAGTCATTTCCGGCCCCATAAACCATATACATATATTCTTGATCAGAACTAACAGCTGAATCGATTAAGATTTTGTAACTTTGATTTGTTGAACAAATAGTGATATAAAAATATAAATTTAATATAAGATATACATTACATATATATAATATATTTTTTTTAATATTTTTAATTTTAAAATTTAGCTTTGCAGATTTGTAAGCCTAATAAAAACTAGCACAGATAAGCTTGAAATTAATGGATTTTTGGCTAAGTTATGATATTAGAAAAACTTTGATTTACCCTAATAAAAATTAGCATACAATAAATAAAATAAATTCGTTTATCTAATTACTAAATTAATTTTATTATTCATCCAATTTTGGTATTAAAATACCAAAACAAACAGAAAGCTTTCAACTCTCAACAGAAATTACTCTAAGCACAAGCTTTGGGTGAGTACGAAAAAACGAAAGACTTCGGAAACGAACTCGGCCGCCAGTTGCTCGCCAGAGCGCCATCCAAGCGCACGTGTCCACAGAGTTCGTGGTGGAGAAAGCCGCCCAAATCGAATCTCCTCAAGAGACCGCGCGCGGTCCCGCAAAAAAAAGATATATAAAAGAAGTGTGGTAAAATATATAAAACCGAATCAATTTGAGGCAGCCGGAATTATGCCTCGCCAGCTTTGTCGTCGTCTTGCTGTGCACTGAAATCGAAATCGAGTCCAATGACCAGCTCTCGAGCTGGTGCTTAAAATAAGAGTTTTGCACTTTAAGCCACAAACCGTCGCCGGTCAACGAGCAGGCCTTGACCCAAAGCCAAAGCCTAGCCAGCACAGAAGAGTTATAGCCCGGTTATATAACACCACTTTCGATTTCAATTAAAACTTAAAATAACGTGTATTCGCAAAACCACCAAAAAGATTAAAAAATAGTAATAATATGTTGCTCGAGTGTGTGAAGAGACCGCGTTGTGCATCTTTTTGGCTGCAGCTGCTCTGCTGGAGTCTTGCCCTGACCAACCTCGAATTTGCCGGTTCGTATATGTCGTGTGCTAAAAGAAACTCTGCGGGCAAAAGGAATGTCCAATGTTAAAGCGAGATAAATTTAAGTTAAACTTTTACTTTCGCCCTGCGGTTTGCCGTTTGGCACCTTTATTTTTTTGGCCAAAAGCCGCCATGCCTTTCTTTTGGCCCTGTCATTGTTGCGCCAGTTGTTGTCGTTGCTGTTTATGTTTCTGTTTCTGTTGACATTTCAAATTGACGTCGGCATAAATTTCAGTTTTAACTAGTTGCACAATAAATTTAGCCAGCGAGCAGCTTGCCTTTTTCCCTTCCGCGCAGTCATCCAATTGTGACCTTGCCTCATATTATTGGTCAACAATAATGCTCGTATAAATAGATATCACCGGGAGCATCTCTCGTCGAGTGTTGCACCTACAAGTACACACAAGACTTCATTGTTAGTAGTGGCTCATCCATCCCACACACACCTAAAGAGATATACTGCTTTGTCACGGCGCTACTTTTGTAATCTCTCGCGGCTCGTTAATTAATTGAGTTGATTTTGTTTCGGTTTTTGTCTGCACTCTGGAATCGCTCATAATTCGGGTCTTATTTTAATACTCATATTTATGGATGTGCCCCTGCACCTTGACACTCTTCGCAGGTGTGTGTTTGTTTCGCAGCTCTTGCGATATTTACGACCAGACATTGTATTATTGTTGCTACTGCTTCCGATGAAGGTGTCATCGTTTTGGGGCCGGCTAATGGGGCGTATGCGCGATGCCGGTGTGCGTGTCACGGACCCACCCGGTTTCGGAGGGCCAGGGACAGGTTCATGGTCGCAGCTTAAGGCTTTTGGAATATAGAATTAAGGGTTCAAGCGAGGGCTATAATTAATCACGCTTGCAGGTTAATGATCCCAGCGAAACCTTTGCAATTATGGCCGCAAAACTGGGTCAACAACCAAACGAACTTGAGGCCAAAACATATCATATAATAAGCACATATTAAGCAATTTAATAAGAATTTTTTAAACATGTTTGAAACACAAGAAAAAGCCTTGAAATCAAGACACAAATCTCAACTTCGATTTGGATTCGAAGTCAATTGGCCAATAATCTCTGTGTATAAGCCAGAGACAACAATGTCTATGACTCATGACAAACAATTCGGGGCTATAAACAAAAAACACAAAAACCCATAAACAAGCTGAAAACAAACCCAAAACAAAAAGCGAAGAAAAAGCGAACCAACCCAAAATCATCTTTCACTTAGCAGGCGATGAGTATCTTGTATTTATTTTGGTTTTACTTTGTCGTGGCCAACGTCTAATTTCGTTTCTCTCCTTCCGCATTCGACGGCTTCCGTTTCGGGCCTGATTTGTGTTAGTTGGACAGAGTTTTCCCCCGCAAATGCAATTTCCCCCATGCCATTTTCCCGCCAAAAAAACAAAAGTATAAACAAACCGGAGAAAAGGCATTTAATTGGCATGCGTAATGCCCGAAAGAAAATGAGCAGGGAGGGGGTTTAGTTCACCTTTTTTTCGGCTTACATAACACAGAAATAAAGCGATTGTGAAAAACCAATGAAAACAGAAAAACCCCAAAACAATTGAGGCATGACCATTGCTAATTGAAGAGTGGTTAGCGGTTACTAAACGTTGATTTTGTGGGGGAGTGTACATTATGTTGGCCTGCTGCCTTTGCTGTCTGATGTAAAAATACGCCCGTTGCATGATTAATTCATCCAGCTGCTGCTGGGTCTACCGATTTTCTGAATGACAACATAGCTCAGCCTGTAATCGTAGTATGTCAGTATGGAAGATATGTATGCCCTATAAGGCAAGAGCTACCCGTATCTGCGAATATTTCCCGTGACCAACCAACCGACAAGAGTCTGCATCTGCAACAGTTTTCCCATACCGGTTGCATGACTCCGGCATTGCGGTTATCGCCCAAAGTTCGAGTACGAGTTCGAGTGCGATGGCAAGTGGGCCACTTTGTGGTTGGTAATTGGTAGTACGTTGGTAGTTGGCATTTGGCGCCACCAGCTGAGCCAGGCTGAAGGCCGATTCTCTTGGCTTTTGGTTAGATTTTTAATTTGCCAATTTGGATGCAAAGCGCATTCCGTGGGGCTTCTTACGCATGCGGTGAGCTAACGTTGCTGCCAGTGACAAAATAGTAACTTAATAATTGGAACTAGTTCGTAAACTGGCTTGAAGTCATGAAAATTCAATTAGAAGTTTGTATTAAAATATTTAATTCTATTAAAAAATACGATGTTTTTTGTTTGCTTGTTACATCAAGTTATTTAAAGTAATGTTTGAATTAAACGATTTAAAAAACAAATAAGGAGAATCTGTAACCAATATTTAAGAAATCTATAAGTAAACCGGTAAAATCTTATTTATCTGAAGTAATAAACAAAGATTACATTATGATACAAGATCATTGAGTATACTAAATGTACATTATTTAAAGAAGATTTAAGAAGACTATATAAATAATGACTCTCATTTTTCAAATTTTTGTACTAACTTGCATTATAATTTAAAAAATAACAAAACAAATATCTTAACCGGCAGAACCGCCTATGAAAAACAAGCTCCTCACAAATGCGAACCACTCGATGCACATCTGTTCCCAGCCAACGAGCTTCAAGTGTCGGATAAGCCGATCTCAAATGGGTTTTCCTCGTGAATCAGCGAATAAATTACGCATACTCATTCCGCATCCAGTTGCCAGCTCCAGTTATATCATGAGCAGCACGTTTTGTCAAAAAGATAAAAAAAGAGTATATAAAAAAGCCAGCAAGCAACAAACAAAGAGCGTCACTTCCGTTTTTGGCGCTACTTTTACTTTCTGCAGGGGCAAATGTTGGTGCTGCAACAACCGCAGCCACACATCTTGCAACTGCAACTGCAACAGCAACAGCAATCGCATGACATATGCAGCGTGCCAAATTGCAGGCATTCAATGTCGCTGCCAACGGCTTATGCAATTAAATGTAATATCAGAGAGCGAAACTAGTTTGTCAACTCGAGTGGCATGTCTTAAACACCGAATCTCATATCCGAATCTCCTACACAAAAAATTAAGCAAGGCTTAATAAGATCTTTAAACTAATTCTTTATTTGTTAAGATCAAACTTCAGAGATAGACTCATATTAGTATTTTATTCATTAACCATGGTAAAAAGTATTATGTTGGTCTTTAATAATGACAAACTACGAAGTTATGAGATATAATATACATATAATAATTTGAATTTGAAATGTAATTATATTTCTAATTTATTGTGTATAATATTTACCTTACAACATTTTTTCTTGTGCACCTTCTCACAGCTGGCCAAAATGCGGGAGTTGTGGCCGCAGCAGTGGCGGCTGGCCAAAACCAGACACAAGTCTATGTGACGGAATCTTGTCTGCAGAAACCGTACCGGTGTCCGCACCCGAAGATCCAGTTCTACCTGTACACCCGGCGCACCCAGGAACAACCGGAATTCATAGATGTCCTGGATGCTAATGCTCTGTACTATACGCACTTTAATCCGCGGCATCCCACCAAGATCATAATCCATGGCTTTGGTGGCGGCAGAACTCTGAGTCCCAGCCCGGATCTAAGAGAGGCTTATTTTAGTGTCGGAGAGTACAACATTATTATTGTGGACTATGCCGATGCGGTTAAGGAGCCGTGTCTTAGCCAGATGGACTGGGCTCCAAGGTTCGGTAGTTTGTGCATCTCTCAGTTGGTGAAGTATCTAGCCAGGCATCCTCGTGGCGTCCAACCGGATGATCTGCATTTTATTGGCTACAGTGTGGGTGCCCATATTGCCGGATTGGTGGCCAACTATCTGAAGCCTGAGGAGGGTAAGCTGGGCAGGATCACAGCATTGGATCCAACGATATTCTTCTATGCGGGAGCAAATAACTCTCGGGATTTGGATACCACCGATGCCCACTTTGTGGACGTGATGCATACCGGTGCCGGGATCTTGGGGCAGTGGCACTCCAGTGGACATGCGGATTTCTATGTCAACGGTGGCACCAGACAGCCCGCCTGTGTGGGATCAGCGACCTTATTTCGTGAGTTTTAGAGGAGATTTTCTTGGAAAACATGAAATTAAATAAGTATTAACCCCCAGAGACTTTGGCCTGTGATCACACAAAGGTCACACCTTACTTTATTGAGTCCATAACCACGACACGGGGCTTCTATGCGGGTCCTTGTCCCAACTTGTTTACCTATTTGATAGGATGGTGTGAGCCCAAGGACTCGGAGTATGTGCTAATGGGGGAGCACTGTTCCCACAAGTAAGTAGGGTCGAATTATAAATAAATTAAGATTTCTTATATTTAATTCTTTTATTTCACTGACAGAGCTCGAGGGAACTACTATGTGACCACCAATGCCAAGGCGCCCTTTGCTCGTGGCTTTCCGGGCAAGGGGCGCTCCAATGGGGAGTACCAGGGAGTGCGGAGATAATGTCGAGCTCTATAAACCATTAGATCGCTTCTGTTCATTAGTGCAGGTGGGTTTCCCAAAGGTTCAGACTACTTCTCTGATTTAATTTCAATTTATTTTGAATCACTTTGGTTGACCGCCTGCATTTCTGCATCTTTTACACCGTAGCACTCATGTGATTTTAGCTTTGTTTCCTAATTGTGTAAACCGATTATTTGATACCTATTTATTTCATATTTTTTGTTGCTAGTTCTAACTGCCGCCATTGTAGTTCCGGGACTTGTACAAATTACTCGTAAAAAAAGATCTAATCATTAAGTTGTAGGCTGAAAATTGTATGAAATAAAAAACGAAACGCATTCGATATTTTGGCATATTTTTAACATGTTCGTTTTATTGAATTCCAAATACATTTCTTTAGGTATAATTTTGTTCTGTTTAATTATGATCTGTAATTATGGTATTTCGTATATTTCAGACCTCGTGAATGGGTTTCAGTTCCATATTATCGGTTAACCAAATGGAAATTACATGTGTGGCCAATTATATATGTATATTATCAAGCTGTATGTTAAAATGAATAGTTATTTTCTGTAGCCCGATCCTTAATGGTTTTTGTTAAACTTTTGGAATATTTATTGTTACATTTGTTTGGTTTTTCTTTAATGAGCATACACTGACATACACAAGTATATTTAATTAATTTGGTTTAACTACCATACAAATAATACAACATGGGCGGGTGTTGCCAGAAAAAGGGACCTCGATTCGTGTGTGTTTTTATGTTAGTTAATTTAATTTAATTTAATTTTGATTTAATGTTTAATATTTTGTATACAGAACTCTCAGTAAACACAAAGAATATTTTTGTCACTAGATATATACACAGTTCAAGTACTCGATTGTTGGTTACAATTACTAATTCGATTTACTTAACCATTGGATACAGTTCAATCTCTGCGGCTCGTCGAAGAATGGTTTTATCTTACGGATTGAGTATTTATTTGAGTTATATTATTAGCGATTTATACTGTTTACGGCATAATGACCTTGTGCTCCTATATTTCCGGATGAAAGTGCCTATCGGATTTCAGGGTTTTTTTTGTTCACTCATAACATTATGTTTGGCTAATCGTTAAAATACCCTAGATATAACCCGTTTTCATGGTTTAACATTATTATGGGTGCGCTTGTGTATAGTTTTTAGCTATGCAGTTGTTTAAATTTGGCATTATGTACACTTAAATTACTCACAAAAGCATTTAATGATGGCATTCAGCTACTAAATACATAAAAGTACTTATTTACAGTGCGTCGCGTAAATAGCAAGCAAAAGACTTAACCGTGGCTTTCTGGTTAACATATGTATATCTATGTCATTATTGTCCACACAGCCCCGAGAGCTTGAGTATCTCTCAAAAAAACAAATAAAGAAAATAAAATTAATTAAGGTGAGTTCATGGCAGGTGAGAGTCTCGTAGATGTTCGTCTCTCCTGTAGAATCTCGAGTTAAAAAGAGACCATACTCCTTTTTCGAATATGGCTTAACAGTATCTAATATGATTTTATGTACAGAATGGATTTTCTTTACTATGCTAATATTACACATACGCCCCAGTGGCCAACATTTTGTTTGAATTGCCTGCAAAAGGCATTATTCGCTCAAAACTTTCGCCTAAAACAAACTGATAAAACAGAAATGTAACTAATAGGTACGAGACCATTTTAATTAACTTTTCATAAGCTTATTCCATCTAAGTATTGTCGCTTTCACAAGCAGTGTTAATTGTTAAATCTGCTTGGGAAATGCATTCCCGCAGAAAATAACATTTAAAATTGTATTAATTATTTGCTATTCATTTATTTATTTAAAGTAGCTAGTAGATTATATGCGTAAGTATTTATTCGCTGCGCTGTACAATTTACGGTATAAGAATTGACTCTTTTAGTTAGAAAATTTTCACACTTTTAATACATAGTGATTTATTTGTGAATAAGTTATATTACCATTTAATAGTTATCTATAATTATATATGTTACGTTAATATAGTTTAATACCTTGCGATAATATACACACGATTAGAAGTAATGAAAGTAAGTGCGTCTAAGTGCGTGTTTAGTGGCAGTAATTGAATTTGTTTAAAATAATAATATAAAAAATTAAAATAAATAATATAATTGTGCAATAATCAAAGTAATTAAATAAGTGCTAATTGTGCATTTAAATGTTAAATTGGTGCGCTCGAATCAAGGTTTGGTGCAATATTCAAAACATACATAAAAAACTAATTAAATTATATAGTTAAAATGTAAAATAATGGTTACTGAATTTATTTACAATCTACTGAATACTTTTTATAAATTTAATCATTTAGAGAGATTTAAAGAGTGCTAATATAATATATAATATATTAAATTATATAGCTTTTATTGAGTTCACGAAAGGAACAAATTAAATAACATTGAAAGGTTTAAAAGTTAAAATAAGTATAACCTTTTATTGAAATGAAACTCAAACTAAAGCCTAATATTTATTATTATACATGGTTATGAAGTAATTTTCAAATTAAAGCCAGTAGAAGTTATCAGAAAGAACAAAAAGGAATTTATCCAGAATACATGCAAAAGTTCCTGACTTTAAAATCCCAAAAAAACTGAAACCACTTTGTATAATTTATAAGTATTATTTACTGCCTATTAAGTAGTGAGCATATGAAGACCAAGTTTGAGGTTATATGCGCCTACCACTATCTACTTAAGTGTTATGATTTTTAGTACCTACATCATGCCTTGCTCATGTCCTTCCAACACAAGAGCTTACCATATACAATGGGGTGCTTTCGAGAAGTTGGGTGAGACAAACAAAACATATTTTATTAACATATATAATCAACGGGAATTGGGTATTATGTATATTCGATTAGCTAGTACTTGTTTTTTTATGGTTATCATTCGTGGCGAACATCAACAATTGCTTAGGTTTGATTAAAATGTTCTGGTGCTTATATGCAATAATTCTTTACACAGAAGATAATATCATCAACGGTAATAAAACTTGCAGCTGGCACTGGCTAACTGCAGAGTTAACAACAATCTTTGGCTATATATATATTTTATATATAATTCTGCATACACCCTTTAATATATATTGAGTTAAATATAAGTATTACTTTCTTTGAGACGTGGTGCGTGTCTGGATTATGTGTGGTTTTTGATATACACATGTGTTGAATATGTCGAATATATATATTCCAGTAATTTCCCTTTCTTGTGTTTACCCATTGCTATGCATTTTGGTTTCTTGTATTTCTTTGTTTTGATTGTGGAGCTTGTAAATAGAAATTCGCGGAAGCGACGCCCTAAACTATGCTACTCTTTAGTGCGTCTGTGTGGGCATTGTGGTTGTTTGGTAATGGTATTGGCTAACGGTATTGCTGTCTCTGCATATGTAGTTTCTCTGTTAGGTACATAGTTTCATTGTGTTAGTGTGGCATGTGGAACTCATACTTCTTTCGCTGAAAACTCATTATTCATTTATTTATAATATTTAGTCGGCTATTTACAGGAATTCCCAGGCCAAGAAGCTTTAGAGAACTCTAAAGATCCACGTCTTGGCATCCCTGATTGAGAAATTGCCGGACTTGAGGTCTTGATTCCTTTTAATTTGAATATAAATTTTAATATAAACATATATTTAGCAACGGTAAGGAGTTTCTCAATGGTAACTAACACATTTTAGACCAAGACCTCAGGGCCAACAATCTCTATCTATTTCATTTATATCTATATCTTTAGTTAAATCTTTTCTGCAAAGATTTCTCTTGCAGAATTAAACTCATCAAGGAGAGAGAGTGAATTGGTAATAAACTTTAACAGCACACCAAGAAAAAAACAATAAACTTGTAACGACTTCCAGCCATAACTAAAAGCTATGATATATATATATAGGGTTGACCAGAGTGATGCCTTTACTGCTGCTGCTGGTATCCCTGCGGATCGTAGGACGGCATTTGGCCCCCGAGGTAACATCCTGCGTGTACCCATACGTATTGGACACATCCCCATACGATGGCGGAGCATCCTCCTCGGCAATGGGTGCAGTGGCTCCAGCCATGGCAAACGGATTATTGGCCACATGTCCAGTGGCACCGTAGCTAATGGCATTCGATTGCTGCATCTGGCTTTGTTCAGTGTACTCGGGGGCACCCTACGTTTTGGAATTATTATTGGTATTTAAGAAATTTCAACATTTATATATTTAAAATCATAATTTTATAATGTTCTAAGAAGTAACTTAAAGCTTATTTCACTTACAAATGATGTCTCCTTCATGTAGTTGCCCAACATGCCCGCTTGACTAGGATCCGTGTTGGTGATAGCTCCAGCCGGTGGCGCCCACACCTGCTGCTCTTCAGGCGGTGGCTCTGCCCAAGGCTGTAGTTCGCCAGAGGCAAAGATACCATAGAAAGTGCAGCCAATGAGATGAACACAGGCGGCCAGGGTGAAAACTGTGGTCCAGCAGCCAGTAGGCTACAAGAAAATATAAGATTAAGTATGAATTTCTCTATATCTTAAACTATATTTAAAACATATAAAAGTAACATTTTTATTCACTTACATTAGCCTGAATGAGACCATCAAGGGCATAGGGCACTATGATACCAGCCAGCGTGCCAATGCCATTCGACAGACCCATCAATATACTGGCATAGCGAGGAGCAATGTCCAAGTGATTGACATTATAACCGGAAATGGCAAAGCCGCTGAAGGCCACACCACAAGTCAAGGCAAACATGGCACCCGTCTGTAAAAGATAGAAGCCCATAAAAATCCTGAAGTAAATTTCCCATAGATTAAACTCCAATCACTCACCGCCGTTGAGGAATGGGCCACGAATAGGAAAAACAGACCCTCCATGCCAAAGCCGCCGCAATTGAAGAGCTTCCTCACATTCGTGGTGGACAGGATGCCGTTCTTCCGCAGATGATCCGCCAGCATGCCACCGAAGGGAACTATAGTGGTCATGATCAAATGTGGCAGCGAACCCACAAAGCCCGCCTCCTCCACCTTGAAGCCGAACTTGTGCTTGAGGAACGAGGACTGGAACAGCACCAGGAGATAAAAGTTCCAGGAACGGCAGAAGTTGGCCACGATGATGGCATAGACCGGCATCGAACGCATCATCTCCCGCCAAGGAGTTGTCGATAGCGACGGCATCGATGGATGAGCCGACTCTCCCAGCGACTTTTCGATATACTTAAGCTCGGGTATACTGATCGCAGGATGTTTGCGCGGATTCTCGAAGCACAACCATATCCAGAACATGTACCATATAATGCCGAACACACCGTACGCGTAGAAGGGAGCCTGATAGCCCACAGCATCCGCTAGGAGGCCGGAGAGCGGAAGACCCACCACCACGCCGGCGTAGGAACCGGAAAAGGCCAAGGTGGCCAGGCGAGAGCGCTCCATTGGCGGAGCCCAGAAGCGCCAGATACCGTGACAGGCAGGATAAGTAACGCCCTGTGAAAATAGAGGAGGTTTTAAATGGGTTAATAAACAATATGGGTAAACGATTAATTGTAATTTTTATAAAATTAATATAAGAGAAGAAGCTTCTTTTCTGTGTACCTTTAAATAGGAATTCATCTCCTCATACGCTTTTTATAAACAAAACATATGTGAATTTATCTAGCTTATTCATCACTCCGAAAATCTTTTCAAATTTCAAGTGTTTTCTAATATTTGCCCAGAAAAAAGACACTCTTGGAAACTTTCAGCTACGATACATGTTTTCCCCAAGAAAAATGACAAACTCCCCCAGTCCAAAGAACACAAAGAAATCGCATTAAAATAAATGCTTTTGTTATTTTTTTGCTTTGCCTTCTGTAGAACCCCACCCTTTGAGGGCTTAGGACATGTTTCCATTTCACATATTTGCTTTATCATAAAGCAAAATCTAGACTAACCCTCCCTTTCTTTTCGCAACATCACGCAGCCGTAATCCCTCGGCTTTGATCTGTGGCAAAATCGAATTTGGTTTGTTTGGTTCGTTCTGGTTACATACCTCGAAGAGTCCTTGCAGGACGCGAACGCAAATCACCACATGTCCGTGCATCAGGGTCATGGCGAAGGGAACGAAGAGATGCAGCGTGGCGGAGCTGACGATGGACAGGCCAAAGATCTTGTTGGCCGGGAACTTGGAGGCAATGAAGCCGCCGGGAATCTGCGTCACCAGGTAGCCCCAGAAGAAGGACGAGTCCACATGGCTCTCCACGGCAACAGTCCAGTTCATGAATACCGTCTGAAAACATAACCGGAAACGTCATTAGAGGGGTGAGTGTTGAGCTCAGCAAATCATTAAACAGTGCCGCAGGCCTTTATTAACGAGCGTCAAGGCGGATGACACACACAATGCTCTCAGTTTCAAATGGTTTTCTATTTTATGTGCTGCGGGGGCGTGGTCCTTGTGTGACTTTTGAGTGATGCCCACACACACACTCGCCCTAATTGACAAGAGAGCTGGCTTCACGCCAAACGAGGCGAATTTGATGGCCCCCCATGCTATAATATGAATTTCTGCTCATTTATTGTCCTCAATTTGATCAATTTAAAAAGAGGTCTTAACAGACGTGCAGAGGATTTAAAGGAACAAGTTATAGTTATATTTAATTAAATTGCTATGAAATTAAATTGCAATATTAACAGATAAGGATGTTGTATTGCTTTTAAGTGTAATTTAAGACAATCGAGAATAAATATCACATAGTATATACAAAGCTCTAACTATATTTCCAGCTTTAAGCCCATATAATTATTTTCGTAAAGATATTTTCTTTAATTTATACGCTACAAGAAAGCCATAAAATTTTCGAAGAATGAATAAAATCATATTAATTAATATGGCCGTTTTTTTAACAAATCAAAATTTAAAATCTGATAACTAAGCCAAAAAACCATTAATTTTAATTCGGAAAGCTTTCCCATCTCTGTTTTTCTTAGGTTAATAAATCTGTTTTAATTCTTTAAAAATTATATTTTTTATTCATTTTTTGAACATTTTAACGATGTAACGCCTAATAAAATATTGAACATATTGGAAAATATATATTTTCCTTAAAATATAGATAGTCGACTCGACTATCGATGCTGATCAAAAATATATATGAGATATAGGCTCGGAAATGAGTCCTTCACTTTCTTTGAAACTTCTGACTGAAAGTGCTATACTATTTTTTAATCCATATTAACTATATTTTTAAATTCACATTTCGGTTATAGCTGGTAAAATTTGCCTGTTGATGTTGATCAATGCTTTATAAGGTCGGAAATGACTCCTTCACTGCCTTACATGCTTCTGACTAACAATATGATACCCTGAGGGGGATCTATAATTTTATAGATATATGTAGATATATTATTATATTAACCACTTACCCCGTTATGCTCCCCCTTGAGCTTGGCAGCGGACATGTTGCAACGCATTCCAAAGGCGATCATGAAGCCCACGCAGGCCATGGTGGCAATGGTGTAGCGGGCCGGCATGCAAGGACACTCCGCCTTGCAGTACTTGTCGATCTTGCGCAGCGGTGGACGCTCGATCTCCTCAAAGGAGGCGGGCGAGTCCGGCCGGTCGTCGTCGTCGTCATAGGCATGGCCACCGCCCGGACCGCGACCTTCACGTTGGCCACCCTCCATTTCCTCGTAGCCGCCATGACCGCCGTGATATCTCTCCGATATCTCGAACTTCTCCATGTTGGGCTTCAGGCTGAAGGAGAAGAATATATAATAAATATTACTATTATGTCATGGATATATAGTTCCTTGTTATTATAGAATTCCTTGGGATTGCCTTGTTAAGCTTATATTTTCTTGAGTATTTCTTATACAAAAACAATTGCCTCTAAGGACATAACTCCTGCCAATTAGAGCGGTGGCAGGTCAAATCAACAGGTCAACGAGAGGGCGTGAAAACACAAATATTTTCGGCTTGTTAGCAGCAACAGCTGCCAGTCCACCACCCCAAAAACGAATGCAAGGTGGTTGTTGTTTTTCCCAGCCAAGGTCCCCAAGGAATTGCGGTACTGCTGAGGGTAGGAAATGCCACAGAACTTGCCTGTCCCTGTGGCTGGGAATATAAAATTCAATTTTATTAAGTGCTGATAGCATTGCCAGGGGTATTTAGAGTTGATTGGAGCAGGTAAGAATCTTAAATCGCATTTCCAGATTTGATTTCCGAGGCAAACAGGTGCCGCCGCCCAGTTTAAACACAGTTAAATGACCTTGTCGTCGACTGATTGATGGATGTGTGCTCTGGCTGATATCGGGAGGGGGATGGTGACCCCTTCCCACTCCTGGGCTATCCATTAACCCGGGATAAGTGACACATCTCTTCGTTGGCATTTTTCTTCATAAATATCCAGACAAAAGTCCCCCTAAGTATGCAATACAAACTAATAAGGAGCAGCCACCAGCCGAAAACAAGCCACTACAGTGGATAACTTTGTCGTCGAAGTCAAAGTCGCCGCCTGTCACATAACTCAACTGTCTGCCGCCAAAGCTACCCTTGTCTGGTCACGCAGGAGCCCTGGAACAATAACGGCGAAGGAGAAGAACTCTGGTATAAGGATCTCCTTGCGTCCTTCGCACATCGTCTCCTGCCTTGACCGACTTTAAGGCTGACGCCAATTTTATGCGGCAATTTTTATTTGCCCTTGGAAGGGCAGAGGTTTGCGTAATGTCCGTCATTAGGTTTGCTATGAGCCAAAAGACATTTCGATTACCATTTCTAAGAAATATTTTAAGGCCTTGACATTTAAGGTATTTTGTGGAAAATCTAAGGACTGTTATAGAAGAAATCTATGATGCCTAATAATAATTAATAAGTTAGCATTTAAGACTTGAATTTGGTTAGTAAAGGTATATATTTTTCAGCCTACTCTTAGACACCTATTTAATATCCTTTCTTAGAGTATCTCCTAGTCACCTATTACTAAGGAACAAAAAAATCTCTGTTTAAGGAAGGGAAGGTCCTCGAACAGAGCCAGTTCTTTTTTGACGTCTCGCCAACTATCTTTGGCGCTAAAGTTTTTGGTTTGATTGTCAGTAAAAATGTTGCAGACTTGTTGTCGCCACATAGATTACGGCTAACTGGCGCCACAAGCCGAAGGATGCCAGGATTCGCTTTTGACTTTAACATAGCCCCCAAAAAAAAAGAAAAATAAAAATGTAAATGGGGCAAATACTATATGTATTAGTTTATTTGCCCCAACAACTGAGATGCTGCGGCACTTGAGGCGGGTTGGAATGGTAATGGAGCGCCTTGTCAGCAACACGACCGCGTCTTCAATGACAATTCTAATTTCATTTTCACTGGCAAGGATAAAGGAACTGCTTCAGCTGCTTCGCCCCCTAAGAGGCATTTCAATTTCTTCGCGCCCAAGTGCCACTCGAGAACTTCAGCCGCAGGTCCTGGCAACCGCTCGTAAAAATCAATTTCATTTGCGTGTGCCACTGCAGCAGCCCTTTTTCCCGTTGGCATGCAACACATTCCTTAATGAAAGCGATGTGCCACCTATTGTTCCAATTTCTAATTTGCGCCCAAGGTCCTTGAGAAATCGGTGTGTGTGTGTGTGTGTGGATGGGATCTCTCTGTGGCGTGCCCCATGAAATTGCATACCGCTTCCACGCGTACACACACATTCATTGAGTGTTTGCCCAATATGCTTTACTACGAGTACAACTTTATTGATCTCGAGGGCGGCAAAAGGTGCCGGAAGCCAGAGTCGAAGTCTCCAGGACACGTGCTGTCAACGTGCCTGGAATTCCAGAGACATCGGTGAGCTACGTCGGCATGCCAGCGCGTCCATTGTTACCAGGAGTCAGCAACTGCCCGGCTCTGCTCTGGGAGGACCTCGTCCTGGCCCACCTTTAATGACTTGTTAAGCATGCCAATAATTTCACAACTTCCCCGGGATCGACACGTGCCGAAGTTTCCCGACGCCGGCTAGTCGCAAGTGCGTATCAATATACATATTTACTGCATTATCCTGGTCGGCATGGTCAAGTTCATCCAACCACGAACAACGACCAGCCTTGCGTTAAATTAAATTCTCCCCGTTTTTTTCCCCATCCGTTGTCTCTCTAAAGTCCATTTGATTGCAATCATATTTCATACTGGGTTTAATGCTCATCGTCATCACGCTACACTTGCCAGCAAAAGTGATGAGTTTTGACAACATAGTCCTGGTCTAGGCATAGGTTATTAAAGGTTTTATGATTTCTATATCCTATTTTTTGGGATCATCTAATTTTCAATATTATATATAGCAATTATAAATTGTATTGAGGGAAGATATTTATAATAAGAACCTTATAACCAAGACAAAAAATCTCCTTTGTATATAAAATGTTAAGTTTTTAGGAACTTATACCCTGCTGTCTCGCATTTTATCGCTTGGTGTATGAATATTAGTATCATCCTCTCTTCGATTCGATTATCCTGGCACACTCACCCGCCAAACACGCCCGTCGCCTTCTCCTTAAACGCCGTCAAGCCCTTCATGGCGATGCTGTGGTGCTGTTGTCCCTTACTCCTGTGTCCTTACTCCTGACTCCTCCCTGCTCCTGTCTCCGGATCGCTGAATCCTCCGCCTGAGTCAGCGTCTGTGGTGTTTTGCTTCGCTGTCCTGTTCGTTCCGCTGTTATCACTTGTGCGCATAAATGTGTTGTGTTGCCTACTTCACGGCGGATTGCCGTGTATATAAGCGTGGCGAATCGGCGGCGGCGTTTAATTTCCGTGAAGCCGGCACAAAATTTGATGACTCTATTTTCGACTCAACGGGGCTTTTACTTGGCCGCCATATAATTTAGCTTTTGGGCCGGAAAGTTGTTGCATTTCCAGTTACAGTGCCTGCAAAAGAGATTTGTACGGGTTATTAATGTGTCCACCGATTTGTGTTCTGTCGCTGATAAGCAAAGCCCCGACAATTTCATCATTTTGCACATTTCTTGTAAGCGGCTTATGTTCATAAATTTCCTCGAGGGGATGACGACTGCGGTGGGATGGGTCCGGGGGGAGTTTTGTGGGTCGGGAAAAGCATTTTGTAAATATTTCTGGCTTTGTTGGCTATTTTGATTGCCTTTTATGCTTCATTTAGTGTGTGTATGACATTTGAGTCTTATTTTGGTCGGAACTAAGCCCTAATCTAAAGGGTTATCGAAGAGTGGGTGGAAAATAAGTTGGGGTTCTTATGAAAACTTGTATTTTAATTGGAACAAAATGCAATATATGTAAATTCTTTGTTAAATGTTTTACCATTCAATTTTAAGATGAAAAAGGCTATAATTTTACTCAATTGAAGTACTTAAAAGAATTTCGATGGGAAATCGTTGTACATTTTTGTGAAAAGTTTGCCTGGGATATATTTAAATAATTTCAATAATATTGTTTACGGAAAATGTAATCAATTAATACTTTTAAACCCAAGAAACCATTATAAATGCGGAATCCTTACCACAAATCTGTTAACATATTAAAAATATTATTAAATTATACAAAACTTTACTCGACATTAGAAGTTTATAATTCCAAAATTTCTGTCATAATACGGAGATCACTTTTTAAATACTGGCTTAAGTTGTTTCATAGTTATAAATATAATTTTTTGTTAAAAATTCTAGTCGTTTCTTTCGCATTAGTTTAAATCCCCTGTGGAAATTTTCTTCATAAAAAATCTTCCCACACATTCCATATTCCAAGAATTTTCCATTTAGACATTTTTCCTCCCAAAAAGTTCAGCGTGGGTTGTACTTTTGACCTTTGGTCGTTACGCCTACTTACATGCCACACTAAAGTTACGTAATCCATATTTTCCGATGTGCGCGATTATGTAATCGTTGATTCAATTGAAACTGAGCAGAGTTTCCGTTAATTTTCGGGCTTAAATTATGTTTCGTTAGGCAACAAAATTTGTTATTATGAACAATTTTGTTGTTGTTGGTTAGGATATCACAAATAAGGTACACAGATAACAGATTATTAGATTGATTAAACACTACGCGATACGCTGGAAGTAGGGAACAGAAATATATTGGAATTAATAATCAAAGGGGGTCATAGAAATATCTAGTATTTTAAATTAGTTACTAGAAATTTCTATAGTCGTTGATTATATAGTTTTAATATTTATTTAATTTATTGACTTGTGGAAGATCCATCTCACATTTTCTGAACAACACACGCCCCGCAAAATATATAAAAACGGAAGTGAAAAACTTTGGGTAAACCAATTAAAAACTTAAAATGTGGGACGACAACATTCAGACAGAGTTTGACCACGAGACCGGCGGCAGGACGACGACGACGACGACTTGGATGGCGATCCGAATCCAACTCTGTCTGAAGACTGTGTGCCAGCTAGGTGGCATCCAGTCGCGATGTGGACCCCAGCCGAGGATCGTTGGAGGACAGGTGGCGAGATGGTTGGAAGGCGACGCCAATGGATACATAAGCAGCCATCTCAGTCGAGGACATCTGGTATATATACATATATATATAAGGTTGGGAGTGGGTATGGTTTTTGGGGAAGTGGGAGGAGCGTGGTATATAGACTGGAATTTTTTCTTTTCAAGGGTATTACGCGACAAAATCGAGAAAAACTGATATTTTACTAATATTCCAATGGAATTAAACACTTTTTTGAAACGCTCTCGTTTAGCACAATATTATTCAGATATTATCAACTATATTCCAGTATTAATTGATGTTTTTTTCTATATATATTCTCGAAAATGTTTATACCCGCAGCTCCAGGCTCGCGATTTGGCCTCAGCAAGACAACGCACGAACTGAAACTAACGGGGCTGGCATTCGCCTTTCTTGTCTGCCCAGATAGATGTCCTGCCGCCGGATTATGCTCCTCCGCAGCATAATCGAAGCATCGATCCCACTCGCACTCGCATTGTGGTGAAAAGCTCTGCGGACGAAGGATAGCATCCTGCGCAGGCCCGAGAATCCGGACGGGCTGTGCCGGAATGTCCTCGTCGGTCACATTGGTCGAGGGTGGATGGCAACAGTAGCAAGCGGCATCTTGGGGGCCGGAGTTGGGGCTTCAGAGCCACCTGGCCGGGTTGGACCAATCAGAGGCCAGGACTCTAATTCCTCCTGCCTCCCATGCACATAGGTGGGCCCCATGGACTCCCTGGGTTGGCATGCGAATCTCAGTCGTGCGTAAAATGCTATTAAAACGTTGCCAGGCCATTTTCTATTGTTTTTCCAGAGACTGAGGCTCAGAGACATTTTCCCATATATATAGAAATGTCAGCCATTTTGGAAAATATTCTCTGTCTGCCGTGTGTGTGTGGGAGGCTCGAAAATAGCTACAAGCTTAAAAGTTTGGAAAATGCCACCATTTATGAATGAACATCCACAATATACTTGTTTTATTCCCATAAATTAGGCTATTTTGATCGATGCGAATTTTACGTGTACGTTTTTTTAAGTTTGCCAATATTTCGTGAAGTTAATATAATTCCAAACTAATGGATTCTCATTTATTTATAAAATTGTATTTTATAAAAAATGTTAGTCACTTGAACTAATGGATTTTAGTCTGCAGCTTCTGTACCTCCATTAATTTCAGAATAATAATTTGTTGAAATAAATATATATAATAGATGACCAAGCTATACACCTGAGGATTATTATTAGTTAATGGAAATATAAATATATACTTACTAGGGTTAATATTTTATCTCATATATACTTTGCATATATTTTTGTTAGACAAAATAACTTCGTTGACAAATGTTTAATTTGGCCAATGCATTTTTTACTTATACATATCTTATCTAAATAATTCATTATTAAAATGATTTCTTTAAAATAATATATAATAATTAATAGAAAATGTTATAAATCATATACGTAAGCCAATGCCAATTTTTCACATATACAAAATCTGAAAAAAATATTATATAAAAATGTTGTATTGCTTCTTTATAATAATACTTTATAACTATTTAATATACTGTAGTTTTTTGAATTTATAATTAGAATTGTTATATCAAATTTAATGCTCGTCTTTATATGCTCATAGCTAAATTTACATAAAAATATATTTGTAATATAGTTCTCCACTGATTTTTTCTTTGTTTTATTGATTAGTTGCCTTTAATTAAATATATTTAATATATTTCTTTAGTCTAATCTTTCCTTCGTCTAATCTGACCCCTTCGTTTTCAATATTATTTCAAAACAAAGAATATTTTAAAGAACTATTCGAACAGATATTATTAGGAAGTAGATTTTCTTAAACTAATTGACTAATACATTTAACAACATAACTAATATAAACCCCCAAAAAGTGTCCTTGAAACTTACAACAATATTAAGTTACTATTTGTCAAATATGTATTTACACCTCTTTCTCTTAATTTCCCTTCCAAACTGTTCACTTAAAGTAGCCAATAATCTTGGTCAACAGTGTGAGCAACTGCCTCGATTCTCAGCCAATTCATAATACTGAAAAAAAAGAAACCCATGGCTCCCATGATCCCAGCTTCCGGTCCAAGCAACCCACCATTATGGGACTTCCCCTCAGATGGCCCAGCGACGTTGCTAATACGACGCGTTGGTCTAACCCTCATAAGCATAAAGCAAACAGCCAAACCATTGCAACTCAGCCAAAAGCTATAATAAAGTTGCGGAAGTAAACAGCGAAGCAAAATAAACAAGAAGCACAGGACGAACAGACACAAAAAAACCCAAGCTGGGAAATGAAATGAAAAGCATCCAAACGGCCGCAAAGGATTTTCGCATTCTGAAAGGATACACAGGATACAGGCAGACATTGGGGCAGACATTTTCGCAGACAAGACGGCGGCACAACAAAACCAACAGCAGCCACCACAACACACTCAAGAGAACGATATTAAATTTCGCAAAAATGTGCCGATCCACATAGCGTTTTACTATTTAAACAAAGCGATTAAGGGGATGCACGGACAGTGTCTAAAAGCAGCCTCCTCATTGATTGACGTAAATGAAGAATAATCGAATTGCGCCCATAAAACTCTAAACTAAGTGGCGGCGTTGTCAGGCGGCAAGAGTGTCGAGTGTCAGGCAGCGTACCACAGTGCACAGTGGGACTATATGATGTTCTCTACAGGGATTTTAGCTGAGATGATTTTTATTCCCTTACAGGATATTATAATTTCAGTCAGAAGCTTGTAAAGCAGTGAAGGACTCATTTCCTACCCTATAAGTCATATATTTTCTTGATCAGCATCAAAATCTGAATCGATCTAGCTATGTCCGGCTATAATTTAATTTTTTCAAAATTTTAAAATTTGTAAGGGGTTACATCGTTAAAACTGTTAAAAATTTTGTCAAAAAAATGAATCTTTGTAACTTGGTAAGCTAAATATGCAGATTTATTAACCTATAAAAAACTAGCTTAGGAAAGCTTTCCGAATTGAAATTAATGCATTTTTGGCTTAGTTATAATATTTTAAAAATTTTGATTTACCTAAAAAATGATCATATTCAAATATCGATTTAATATACCTAAAATAACAATATTTAAAATTTTTTGGATGTATATTTCGATTTCTAAAACAATAATGAATATAACATTGGAGAAAACTCTACAAAAAATGAAACTGAAAGAAATTTGTATATTGTATCATTAAGAAATATAAACTGCATAGAACATCCTTGCTCCTAATGGTATAAATTTTGTTTTTTACTAATACATTTTCTTTACTTTCTCGTAGCACCCACTGTGCCAAAATCAGTGGACGCAGCATTTCGCTCGCACTCATAAATCGTCAGCGAAAAAGTGTCAAACTTGAGTTGACAGTCGCCCCCCCGGCTGAAGTCAGAGTCCCTGCCTGATCCTGGATTTCGAGAATAGATGTCCTGGCTTCGCTTCCCGTCGCACGTCAGCGGTAATTAGTGAAGCTTTGGCCGAAAGTCGTCTTCAATTTCATTGCGCCAGCGTAATCATCATTATCCTGTTGGGCCTGTTGTATCGTCCCTCAAGCCGTATCCCGTTGTCCTTGCCTTTCGCACTAATTACAAAATAACTTTTACAGCATTTTGCGCTGGCTGTGTCATCTTTGTGCTACTTTTTTCGGGGGATTCCCCGTGGTGTCTATGATGTATGGCTTTTCGTTGGATGATTTACGAGTGAATTGTGGAAGGAGTAGCTAAGGATAACTGTCAGTGAAGGGTTTCCCAGTGGTTTTAATTACCAGCTAGAAAATGTGACGACTTTAAAAGCGAATGAAATTCAACTCGGAATCCGTAAAAAGTAGGAAAATAAGGATTTTCCCAGGACGATTGGGGGCGGGAAATTGATGAACTTCTGTTGATCCAGCAGACTCATGCTGTCAATCCACATGTCCTCCCACTCAATCACAAAACTAAACGCTGTGCTCGTCGATAAGCGTGCCACATAGCCACATAGTAAGAGTAATAAACCGAATGCCAGGGAGGAGGTCAAAGGTCGGGGGTGCTGCCAGTTGAGGGTGTCTCTGGCTCAAAGCGATTCCTGAGATTTAATATTTATTTTTGTTTGTGTGCAAATAGCTGGAAGCAACAGAGATATGAAAGAAATCCATGGTAGAAAATGGGGAAACAAACGTAACTGAGGAACTCTGTTCAATAAATTTGACTTTAATCTGTAGAGTTTTCATGAATTACTCAATATTACTATGTGTATTTTGATGTTTCTAAGTCACATCTAATACAAATATTTTTCAAACCAAAATTTTGGTATACAAATAGTTTTTCTTAATTTTTTTTTTAATATTTAAGAATAGCTTTCCGGTTCATAATTAGCATATGCCTTCACTTAGGGCTTAACTCTTTGTCTGCTCTATGGTAACAATGAAATCCATTAGGGTCATAGACAGAATATTTATTCATTTGAAACCCATTTTTCCTTCGCTTGCCACACAACAATGAGAGCAAAACACAAAAGGCGAAGCGCGTCAGTCAGTGCAACTTTATTTCAGGCTAGAATGCACA